CACGACGCACGCAGTACTAAAATTATTCCAAATGTACTCTCCCTACGTGTTAGAAGCAATGACTGATGAAAACCTTTGTTTGAGTAGTGTTTCCCTTTAAATGGGTACAATTTAGTTGTAAGATTATAATCAAGGCTAAACAGGGTGTTCATACTTCATATAGCTGTCAAAAAGAGAAAGTAGGGAGAAACAAGATGGCAGCATAGGTAAATACCTGTACTTGCTGTCTCCCACAACCACATCAAAATTACAACTCAAATACAGAGCAACCATCATCCAGAACCGCTGGAAAGCTGGCTGAAAGCACACTGAGACTGGTAGGAGTGCAGAGGCGTGGAACCGGCTGGTCTGGCACCCACGTGTGCCGCTTTTTTAATCAGGAGGGAGATGTCTCTGCAGAAGCTGCCTGGAGGAGCAAGGGATCCCAGCCCCACACCAGACCCCCAGCCCAAGGTCCCAGAGCTTGGAAAATAAGTCCCCATAACTACAGGCTGTAAAAACCAGTGTGGATTGGGGCTCAGTGACACAGAGGCTGCTGGAGACCCAGCTGTTCCTCTTAAAAGGCCGGCATCATGAAGTGAACTTACAAGGTCCTGCTCCAGGGTGAGGCTCTGGGGGACACATTTGTCTGGCATTGGAGCAGGAACTTTGGTAATATACAGGGATTCAACAGTAGACTAGAGGATCCCGAGAATCAAATCAATGATTTGAAATATGAGGAAGCAAAAAACATCCAACCAGAAGAGCAAAAGAAATAAGAATCCAAAAATATGAAGATAGTGTAAGGAGCCTCTGGATCAACTTCAAGCATACCAACATTTGTATTATGGGTGTGCCAGAAGAAGAGAAAGAGCATATATTGAAACCTATTTGAGGAAATAATGATAGAAAACTTCCCCTACCTGGTAGAATAAATAGACTTACAAGTCTAGGAAGCACAGAAAGTGCCAAACAAGAGGAACACCAAGAGGACCACACCAAGACACATAATCCAGGGCAACCAAGCCTCCTGCTTGCTCCAGCTCTGTGGCTGCTGGCTGCCATCTTGGTTGGGTTAATTTGCATATAGTTGCTCTGATTGGCTGGTAGGCATGGCTTGGGGCGTAGCAGAGGTGCGGTATATTTGCATGTTTCTCTTTTTTTAGATTAAGAGGGTTAATTTGCATATAGTTGCTCTGATTGGCTGGTAGGCATGGCTTGGGGCGTAGCAGAGGTGCGGTCAATTTGCATGTCTCTCTTTTTTAGATTAAGATCGAATGGTATTCTTTAAGAAGAGGAAGAAGAAAAAGATAAAATGAACAACAAAATGGCAACAAATACATGCCTATCATCAATTGAATCTAAAAAATCAAAATAAATGAATAAGAAATCCTAATGAACAGAATAAACTGGTGAATAAAATAGAATCAGAGGCACGGAAATGGAACTGACAATTCTCAGAGAGAAGGGGAGTGAAGGGGCTGGAAGAAATTAAGCAAATCAGCCCAGGAGCCCTCGGGGGATGTCCACTTGCCAGCGGGGAGCAAGCCTAAGCTGCAGTTGGACATCCTTAGCGCTGCCAAGGAAGCGGGAGAGGCTCCCACCAACACCAGGGGTGGGGCAGGAACTGGGTGGAGGAAGGCAATGGGGGGGGAGGTAGAGGGATATCTGTAATAATCTCAACAATAAATATTTTTTAAAATGGGGAAGGTATATCTGTGTTTCCTAACATAGGAAGATCTTCAAAATACTAAGTGGGGGGGAAAATAACTCCAAAAGAATGGGTACAATATGATGCTTTTTAAATTGATTTTTATATGTGTTTTTTTATAGATATAAGTGTGTGTGTAAATACTTAGTATCCTGTATAATAAAAGGCCAGAGGCATCAGACTGAAAAGACCAGAGACCAGACCACCATGGCCCCTCGTGGGCTGGCCCCGCCCCAAGCAAGCAGTTAGGGGCAATCAGGCAGGCAGGCAGAGTGGTTAGGGGTGATCAGGTAGGCAGGCTAGTGGTTAGGGGAGATCATATAGGCAGACAGCCCCTCACAGGGCTGGCCCACCTCCCAGCAAAGAAAGAGGGAGGCCCAGGCCAGCCAAGCCATCATCACCCCAGCCTGTTGCCTACAGAGGGAGGCCACCAGTGGCAGGGGAGGCGGGGCAGCACTGCACAGATGGCAAGCAGTGGCTGTGGCAGAGGTGGGGCCAGCTGCCTGCAACTGGGGGAAGGAAAGCCCCGATAGGCCAAAAATCAATCAGGAAGAATAAAAAAACCTGAATAGGCCAATAACTACTGATGAAATTGAAACAGTAATCAAAAAACTTCCAGCAAACAAAAGCCCTGGACTGGATGACTTCACAGGAGAGTTTTACCAAACATTCAAAAAAGAAATAAAACCTATCCTCAGATTATTCCAAAAAATTCAAGAGGAAGGCACACTTCCAAGCTCTTTCTATGAAGCCAGCATTACCCTAATACCAAAACCAGATAAAGACACCACAAAAAAGAGAACTACAGGCCAATATCCTTGATGAACATAGATGCTAAAATCCTCAACAAAATTCTTGCAAATTGGATTCAGAAATACATTAGAAAGATCATACACCATGACCAAGTGGGATTTATTCCAGGGATGCAAGGATGGTACAATATCTGCAAATCAATAAATGTGATACATCACATAAACAAACTGAGAGACAAAA